TTCAATATTGACAAAAATTCTACAATCAAGTCCATGATTGAAGTTCGGTTGTTTTTTAAAGTTTTTAGGTCACAAGAAATGAACTCCGAGAATGTAAAATGCGTCTTACTGTTGAAGCGTACAGATGGAAATTGTTTTCTGGTTACTTTTACTTTTGTTCCACAGTTTTTCACTGTTTTTTTTGGGAGAAGATATTTATATTTTTTTATTTCGATAGAATAAAAGGTTGAAAAAAGTTTTATAACTTCATTTGAGGCGTTCCTAAACCACGGTTTCTAAAGTATCTATCGAGCATTATTCTTATGTAGTGGTCTTATACATTATTATTTCCAACGTGGAAAAGGCCATAACTTTCTAACGTTTTTTTACTCTCTATTAGTTTTGTTTAGATATAAGTTTATTACATTTTGTATTTCAAGCAATCGGAAGATGGGAAGTAGCAGTGAGGAAATAAAAGTTAGTGAGTATGCACCGTGCAACACGACACCGACCGCTGATATGTTACTCAAATAATTTTCTCCTTTTAGAACAAAAAAAAGCACCATGGATTCCACATGGAGTGATCATGGGACGTGGTTATTCTATTATGATGCAACAACTACACCAAGAACAAGAACGAAATATTGCTCCAGATCTGGCCATCATCGAACAAAAACGACTCGCAAAACACCGCTACGATGACTGGTGCCATGAACAAGATAAAAAATGGGAACTAAAATATAGAACAGAAGTGCGACGTGATCGTTATCAGCAGCAACGTCTTCGTCAACAAGAGCGACGTCTTCGTCTCCAAGAAAGAGAAGAAAGAGATCGACGTAAGTGCAGTAATTATCGTTAAAAATATTGAAATCATTACATACTTTTGTTTCAGAATTCATATATATATGATACTGAAACAAGTGTTCTGGGACCCCTTGACATTAGAAATACTGTCTGGAAAGCCGTGAAAAGTGTGTGATTTATTCGACGAGAAGGATTCTGTGCTCCACACTTGTCCACTAGCCACGGCGATACATATACCGTTCGATAGTGCATTTCTCGTACTACGAATTCATATATATATGATACTGAAACATGTGTCTAGAATACAAACAAAAGACTAACTTTTGTGGATAATAAGCGTGAAAGCTGAACAAGTCAGCTGATAGAAAATTCAAAATTGTGTCTAGCACAGCAATGCTCGAAGTTGCCATAGTTGTCAGACTGAGTGTTTTTATAAAGTAGTCGAATCTGCTGCTAACTTCACCTACGTTCACTAGTATGGATCGAACTGACACGATAAAATAGAGTTTATCTAGTTGTTCTGAAGTAGTGTGAATTGATTTCGAATGAATTATGAATTATTTAGTCTTCCTTGAAAAGAGTCGAATCTGGGTGATTTCATAATCTATTGCAATCTATAAAATTATCTAAGTCCGGTTTTAGTACAGCAGAAAATAAACTTAGAAATACACGTATATTTGAAAAGCGTGACTATAAAGATCTAAAGGAGCCACCCTTTGAATGTATTGATAGCAAATGTTTACAAGCTTTTAAACTATTTTAAGACGATAAAACTCATTATGTATGTACAAATATTAACATGTGTAGTATTGAGTTGTGTGATATCTACTTTGGTTCATTCGGAAAGCACGCACACATATGATTGATTACTCAGGTATTTAGAGTTTACTGAGTAGTATACGCAAGCGGGAAACAGCTGACTTTTTGAATTTTTTGCGATTTTCACCAAATGAAAAGTCACCGGAAATGACTGAAAGTCACTGGAAATCACAGAGGATGATTGAGAATCATTGAAAATCAATTGCTTTTGGGTGATTTTTAATGTCTCAATAGCTTCCTGAAACAGCTTTACCAGGAGATCTTTGAAAAATCAGAGTGTAGAAAACTTTTCCAATAAGACTATATTGGTTTTTTTCATGGACGAATGGGCGAGAGTGTTATGATCTGCCATTCCTGGCAGCTCATAAGACTATGTTCTCTTCTTTTCCTTTCTTTCTGTTCACTTCGTTCGTGACTCATTCTGTTCTTGTACTATCCTTATGTAATCCTGTTCTTGCGCAACTCCTGCTCAACTCTTGCACAACTGTTGCTTCTTACATGTACTATATATAGCCGTTCACTTTATGCAAATAAAGATGAAAAGTGAGTGAGTAGAACCTCACAGAGAGTGTCCTCTCTAAACCGGGAGTCAAGCGAGGCCCAGATTTTCAGCGGTTTGGGTGTTATCTTTCTGCGCACTCGTTTTCTATCTGTGGCGGCTACACATCCACTCTAGTGCCTCATACCATGGCTAATCGTTTGTAGAAAGAAAAAAAGTGAGAGAGTCATTCGGTACATTTATTTTGTTGTAGCTTGCATTTCTTTACAGAATGAAGATCTCTAGGTTACAGCGTGAGATCTGAGAATGCCCCGCAAGAAGAAGAAAGCATATCGAAAATCAAAAGTCTCGTCGTAGACACTTCAATTGGATAACACAACCTGTAGGTTACAAATTTCTATAGTGTTTGTTTAATAAACTCTGGAATCCGCTTAGCACAGACTTCAGCTCCAGGCTCCGTGAATGAAAGATAATGTACCCCTTGCTCCACAATCTCGAATTTCCATAGATTGGGTAGTTTTGAACTCCAATTTTTCGCATCTTTCGTTGAGTAGTATTGATCGTCCGATCCATGTAAGACTAAAGCTGGTACTTTGATATCACCAAGTCGATCGTCGAAATCATCATGGTTAAGGAGACAGTTGAGTGCTGGATCATAACCTTCAGGGCCAGCGTACCGTTCGATCCACATTTGCTTGACTTTTTCATAAACTCTCTCGCCTACACGCGTAGGACCACCGAAGGATGCTGCTTTGATAAGTAGTGCTTCTTCCGAAGGAATCTTCGTCTCGCACCATTTGTCACGACGCTTCGACAAGTCGATTTTTCCTTGTTCTGTCTCTGCGTAGGCCGAAGTACCGAGCAATATTAGTCCTTTGATACGTTGAGGTTCGAGTAAGGCCATGTGGAAGGCTATGTGACCTCCTTGTGAAGTTCCGAGTACATAGAAGCGGTCGAGACCAAGTATGGTAAGGAGTTGTAGTGAATCCGATGCAGTGTCTCCGAAAGTGAAATCTCTTCTAGAACCGGTTGTTCCTCCATGACCGTGTTCGTCGATCGCTATCAGATTATAGACCGAATAACGAGCGTCCTTAAATTGAGGGCTGTAGAGGCGTGAATCCATTAGGAAAGCGTGAAACATGACGATGGTTGGTAGTGACTTGTCGATTGGATGAGAAAGGCGATAGGCGAGAGTGACACCATTCTCTAAGGTAGTTTTCAGTAGTTGCTTGTGTGACATGGTATAGGAAAAGACGTATGAGCTCTGAAAACTGTACTTAACTAGTATTGACGTGTTGTAAATCGAAAAACCTGTTTGCTGTATGAGTGGAGACCGAACAGCGAAAAGAAATTATGTGAAGTGAAAATAAAGAATTAATTTTTGCAGTCTCTTCTGTCGATGTGCGCGATAAGAGTGTAGAGAGGAGATAAACGTGTAATGTAACCTATTCTTGTTCTGTCAGAGAGAAGCTATGCTTAGAAGGAGAGTGTTTGTCTATAAATGTGAATGAATTTTTTTCGATTGTGTTTTAAAATATACGATACAGTTTGCGCAGTAACAATAGTTAATCTCTTTTCGCGTCCTTCACCTTTTGTAACAAACGAATAGAGCCATAGCAAACAAGTAATTTTAACATTACTTATTTGCTATAGCTCTAATGTATTAGAAGGAAGACTTGTTGTCAAGTTTTCGAAAAGCTGGCAAGGTTTTTCTTGATTTTTCAAGAACTATTTATTTGTCTAAAAAAAACGACAAAAATGAAAAGTCGAGTTCAATTAACTAAGTCGGACCTTTTTTTGTCTGACTGAATAATTATTTTAATAACTGTTTCACCAGCTGTTTCAACCCGTTCAATGCTATTAGGGGATTACCGCTTTTCTTTTATAAAACATATTTTCTCTATGATTTTCAGTTTCAACTGAGCTTCAAATGCTCTTGTGAAGTTAGATGCTTATTGTGCAATCGGTTGAAACAGCTTGATTATTCGAATTTCTCTGAAATGCATAGTCATATATTTCTTAAACTTTATTCGTCGAAAGAAAATGAAATAGATCAGTTGGAACCGATAGAGATTTTTCGTTATGTCATATTAATTTTATACCAGAGCTTTATGAAAAAAATATCGGCAGTTTTCAGATTTATTTTCTCATTCGACACAACTGTTATGGATACCAATAAAAAAAGAGTTGATTAATTGATGAATTAAGTCAAATGCTTTCAAGTATTCTGACTGATGATGACGAGACAACCGATAAAATATAATCTTCTATTGCCCCAGTAAGAGAATTGTTGAATGATTTGAAAGGAATTGAGCATATTTTATTATCACAATCAGTCCGACCATAAACTAAAACGTGTGAATTTTTAGTGATAGAAAAATTATTAAATCAAATACCAGCTGAAATTAAATGTGAAAATTATCTATATCTCATTATTTTCCGTACTAAACAAAATTACAACAACTGTTAATAAAGGTAGAAGAAAAGGAAGCAAAAGCTCAAATGGAATGAATTATTTGTTGAAAATGAAAGCCTATATGCACTACTATCCATCCCAAAATATAATGTACGTGATTGTTTTCTGAATAACTCAAGAACAATAAAAGATAGAGACATGCGGTCTTCAGCAATCGAAAGATGACAGTTTACGCTGTACTTTACGAGCAAAATCGTCTCTCAAAAGTATTCCGAAGATCGGTTTTCTACAAGATCTTAGGATGATCAGCTCAGATTTCTAGAAATCGACATAGTAATCTATCGTTTTTATTTCGTAGATAGATAGTCCGAAATGTGGTCTACAAGATCAGATCCAAGCAAAAGTTCGGTTTTGCTTCGTTCGGGCACTACGGACCTTTTTCTCGAAGCCTTAGAACTTCTCTGTCGTCAGATTTAAACTATCAGAAATGCATGAAAACTTAGATTATTGACTATACTGAATCTTGTGGCAATATTTGTTATTCAACAAAGCTTCGTAAACCTAGTGAAAACCTATATTAGTTGAAATATACGAGAATTGAAGCTATTTGTTGATAAAGTAAAAAAGCAATTGGGAGATATTTATTCGCCATTATTGATACACGCTCCAGGTGCTCGTTGTACAAATTTATTCCAAGCTTTAGGTGAAGCAGAGCAGAATTAACGAAAGTCAGATGTCCGTAATTCAAACTTCAAGCAAACCTTTTTTTGGCTTAATCATACATATTCTGATTCATCTCGTCGAGCTGATCACGAATATCACGTTTTTACTTCTATTGAACTGCATCTTCAGGAAGAAAAACTCCGCTTACGGAGAAGGTTGCAAAAACCCAAACTTTTTTGTTTTCAGGAAAAGCGCCATAACTTTTTTCGCTTTAGTCATGTAACTCTGAAGCTACCATTTTCAGATTTCTTATGAAAAACTGGTTCTAGGGCTGGTATTCGCAAGTCCTTAAATCCAAAAGCCAAATTCTCGCGTAGGCCAAATGTATTTGAGTCAAAAACCCTAACCGAAATTTGCAGACCTAACACAGATTTGTGTAAACCGCTTCCCATATTAGAAGACCCTGGGAGCTTCTATTTGACCGTGCAAACTGTGCTGGAGAGATCTTTCAAAGGAGGCTTCTAAAACGGGGAGGACTTCTAATATGGGAGGGGCGTCTATTACGAGTGGGGTTTAGAGAGGGTAGATCCAATATTTGCGTATTGTCAGACGCCCAGCTTCAAAGTTATGCAGAGATTTTTTAAAAAGTCGCTTTTCG